AACGAGTCGCCTTCGATGTGTGTGAGTCTGTCTCATTAAGAGGAGTTTTCCTGTAGTTCAGACCCAGGTTGCAGCCTCAGGTTCCTGATTCCTGATTGGTTGAACCAGCGTTGCAACTTCCTGAAGAGACTGAATGAATCATCTGCAGCAGTTTACCCACAACAACCTCATACAGTTCAGTTTGAATCTGCTGAAACATCACTGAACGACGTCTGGTGGGGTTTGATTTCTGATTTTTTGACAGGAGAAGAAAACATGCAGTGTGGATTAAAGAGCAGCCGACCTTGAGGACGATCCACCGCTCAGCCAGATCAGTCCCAAGAGGAGAGGAAGAGAGTCGGATAGACTGCTCCTGGATAATGTCAAACAACAGGATCAGGGAATGTCTACACAGACCTGATCCATCAACATCCTGGATCCTCAACAGGGATCGAGTTCAGAGCCGCCCAGAGGAGGCGACTCTGTTTCTGTTTGGTGCTCAAACGCAGTCCGACTGTATGGACTCTGTTTGTTTCTATGTGAAGATGAAATTGTGTTATTCTATGAATTGAATTATGTTTTTCTGTGTGTGGCCTGAAGAAAATGACAGGAAGTGTAGTGAGAATATACTGTACTGCCTCCTTGTGGCTGGTAATAATCACAATATTTACATAAAAGTAGTTGTTTATAGGAACATTTATGTACATACATTAATATACATGACTATAAACATATATATTAATATATATATATTAATGTATATATATTAATGTGTATATATTTATGCTGCTGTGTTGATGAAGGTGGAGGGAGGTTGGGCAGGGTGATGGTTCCTCTGACAGTGACCCTCAGGGGCGTCTAAGACTTTATAAGACAAAGAGATGGTGGCTGGGTGGGGGTAGTATAGACTGCCCCCCCTCAGGGCACAGAGAGTGAGACAGTGTCCATGAAGAGGTGACAGACGACACACTGAGAGGATTCAGACACAAAGATCTCTTTGTTCTTAAACATCAACAGCAGGCAGAGGTCTAAACATTATTATTATTATTAACCTGATATATTATACACTCTTCATAGTCGGGATAAATAAAGTTATTTTACCTTTATGGCCTTTTACCTTTACCTTTAAGAATCATTAAACACAGTTACAATAATATTTTCTTTTTATTGCTCTATATTCCTCAATGTTTCTCCTACGGGGGATTGTGACTTGTAATTTTCCTTTTGGGCGAAACGTAGCAAAAACAGTGAAGCTGCACTTGATTAACATTAAACAGCCATCAGATTACAAACTGATTATAAACGTCCTGCAGTTATTGGACGTCTGACGAGACATTGTCTCAATATGGAACACGAGTTAAAAAAGGCTCTGCAGGTCGACTTTATGTATCACACCTGGTCAGTGATCATACTACTGAGGAGATGAAGGACTAATTTATTTGATTACTTAACTTTTGGTTGGTAGAAATCTAAACTTATTAACAAAATAGCTTTTGATCATATCAGCTGTTCTTTAATGAGCTCATGTGCAGTTCCAGCTGCTGCCACTAGATGTTAGTACAGAGTCATATTTTACTACTAAAAACTACACTGAGCAGCTGTCTTAGGAAACTACATATCAGTGAGCTGTTTTTAAAGATCTCTGGGGGAACCAATAAGCTGAGAGCAACAAACAGGAAGTCAGACAGCGAACACATCCACACCTGAGTTCCACTAATCAGATTACAGTTACTATTGTTACTATGGATGAGCTGCAATTTTCTGATGTTAAACAACGAAATTCTTATACTTGGCCCCAAAAACCTCAGAGACTCACTTTCTAAAGATATAGCTACTCTAGATGGCATACCTGGCCTTAGGTTGCCACTGTCAGGAATCTTGGATTATCTTTGATCAGGATTTGTCATTTAATTCCCACATTAAAGCAGATTCTAGGACTGCCTTCTTCATTACGTAAATATACAAAAAAATTAGACACATCCTATGACAGACAGATGCAGAAAAAACTAATCCGTGCATTTGTTACTCTAGGCGGATTACTGCAACCCTTGTATTATCAGGTTGCCCTAATAAGTCCATTAAAAACGCTCCAATTAATCAAAAACGCTGCGCACGAGTACTGACAGGAACTAGGAAAAGAGATTCACATCTCTCCTGTTCTAGCTTCTCTGCATTGGCTTCCCTGTTAAATTTAAAATAGAATTTAAAAATCCTCTACCTCACCTATAAAGCTCTTCATGTCAGGTCCCCTCTTATCTTGAAGAGTCATATTACCATATTACCCCTCTAGAACTCTACGTTCTCTGAATTGCTCGGGGCTACGTGGTGGTTCCTATACTCTAAAAGTAGAACCAGGAGCCAGAGCCTTCAGGTTACCAAGCTTCCTCTCCTGTGGGAACCAGCTTCCAGTTGGTTCTGGAGGCAGAAAACCCCCAAACCCCTCTCCACTATTAAGAGTAGGCTTAAGACGTTCCTCTTTGATAAAAGCTATAGTTAAGGCTGATCAGGTTGATCCTGAAACCATCCCTTAGTTATGCTGCTATAAGCCTAGACATCGGGGAATTTCCCATGGTGCACTGAGCTCCTCTCTTCCTCTCTCTCTCTTTCTGCACTCATCATGTCCGATTAAATGCATTGTTCTAACTTCCACTCCTTCCCCGGAGTTCTTGCTGCTGTCTCATGGTCGCAGGTCTCATGGTCCTGGTGAGGCCCCTGCCATTGGTTCTGCTTACTACCATTCCTAATATCACTATCATATTGTTATATTATTATTAGTTATTATTAGTATTATTGTGCTACAGTTACTGTTGTCGCTGCTCGCTGTCCACCCATCGTGGCTGCTGTCGCCATCGCTTTTGTCATGATGTCCATCGACGCAAGTGTTAGTGTTGCTGTTATACATCTCTCTCTGTCGTCTGTCTCTCCTCTCTCTCTTCTCTCACGTCTCTCTGCTCTCTCTCTCATCCCTCTCTCCCACCCACCTAGAGCCGGAAGGGTCTGTCCGAGGTTCTCCTTGTTAAAAAGGCAGGTTTTCCTTGCCCCCAGTCTCCAATGGTCTCTCTCATGTGGTTACTGTTGGGCTCTGTAAATGTTATAAGGAGTTCGGTTCTAGACCTGCTCTATCTTGAACAAGATGTACCTGAGATAACTTTCTGTATCTGAATTGGCACTAACAAAATAAATTGAAATTGAATGAATTGAATTTACCAGCAACCAGTTTGGTTGCGTCTGACAGGTTGACAGGCGATTTCTATATTTGTCCACCTTGTTAAATCAATTGATGAAGAATACAATAAACAGAAACAAGCAGCACAAAACTACAACCTCCAAACAAATGAGCCAAATGAACACTGAAATTATCCACCTTCATTTATTAATTAATCATTAATTATTGTTATTTTTCTGTCTTTATTTTGCTGATTGTGTGATTGGTATAAATAATACATATTATTGTCTATATAAGTCCAGTGCTGTAGATACAGGTCAGAGGTTTGTACTAGTCTATTTGATTAATGTAATAGCTAACAATAATTGTACTACCTATTACTTTATTTCGTAAGTTTTTGGTGAAGTCCAGATAATTTGCACAATTTTACCTCACAGATCATGTAACTTCATTGTAACGACAGAAACAGAATCAGAACCATTAAAGCGTCTGCTGTTAGTGTTTCCAACAATCACCAACTCTGGTTTTGGTGGAACTAAATCCTTCAGTTCACCGACGTAGATGATAAAAACAGCAGTTTCAGTCTCTACTCACCATGACTCCACTGTATCCTTACACAGATAATAGTTGTTAATCTTCATAATCTCACATATAAAACTTTAATAATAAAAAAAAGTTTTATTTGGGGAATCAAACAGTTGATAAACGTCACCATGTACCATCATATTCACTTCCTGTTGAGTTACTAGACGTGATTATTAACAACAGTCTAACACGTTTATTTGTGGTCACAGCGTCATTAAACAACCATAATGCATCAGGTGAAATGGCAGTGTTAAGGCTTCGAGGTACATTAATCTGTACTGACAGACAGACGTCACTCTCAGGAAGGCAGAAATCAGTTCATCACTTCTTTCAGTCAGTTTAGTTTCATACCACATGATGGAGATTAAAGTCTTTAAACAAACTGCGTCGAAAAGCTTCAACTTTTCTCTCAGTTTCAGATTAAAACTGTATTTTTATTGTTTGTGTGTCTGTGAGGAGGTTTTAATGTCGACGCAGTCTGAGATTCATTTAAAATACACTTCACAGAAGTCATAAAGTGATGAGTCAGAAGGAACTGAAGGCAGAAAGATAAAGTATTATAAGCAGAATAATCCTGATTGTCCTTCTGGAGACTTTGAGGGACAAAGATAAAAAATACAGACCAACTCATTTCCTGTCATCAGTCAAATAAACCCAAATTAAATATATTAGTATCAATGTGAACCGGATCCCGGCGAGCAAGTAGCAGAACCAGGACTCCGGGTTGGGGCTCTTTTAGTTTTATTACCACTGTGGGAGGATTCACTGCGTTCCTCTGTGTTAAATCACAGCAAACTAAATATATTTAGGTTTTAAACCTCATCAGGACAAAATGATTCATCAACAAAAGAATAATGAATATTAATAACTTATATTATTATTATATTATTATAAGTGTGGATCAGAGTTGGTCTCTAGCGGTCGTATTACAGAAACCTCCTATCTTAACGGTCTGGTAACCATGGTAACTACAGTCATCAATGGTCCTATCCTAACACAGGCATCATCATAATGTAACATAACAACTTTCACTTTTCCAGCAGTTTTCTAGTGTTTGCTAACTCCGCTCAGACAGTGTCGCCATCTTAACCCACTCTCTCTCTCTCTCTCT